TTTATTTATTCATTTTTTGTAAAAATATTTTTCTATACATGATTGCATACATTACAAAGTACTGTTTACCTGCCAATGTACCACGTGATGAATGCTGTGCACTATGGGTACTTAAGATGGCAGCCTCAGTCTAATGGTTAGCGGTCTGAGGAAGAGCATTTTGCTCGAAACGTCACGCCAATAAATTGTATAAAGGAGCCTGTTTTTGGTGTGTGGATCGTTCTTCTCTTCTTTTCTCATTTTTGACATTTTGTGATCCAGCACCCAACCCAGTGGGCCTCGGGGATGTGCGTGCCTTTCCTTCTTTAGACTTTGAGTGACTTGAAATGTGAAAGAGAGAAGCCTTTCCTGGAGACTAAACAATGTTTGCTTCCCTCATCGTGATCAGAGATGGTGTTGTTCCAAGTCGGTAATATTTGTTGTTTTCATGAAGCGAATAGGTGCCAGAACGCTGAAATTAGATTTAAAGGTGCTGCTCGTTGCTCGGTCCAGTTAGTTCCCACTGCAGTGGATGATTTCCAATGAAAACTGAAACTTCTTTGCATCACTGTGGACTATAATGTAACATGGAGTTTGACTGTATGATGCATTTACATTGGTTACATCTGTTGTCTTTGTACTTCCTCTCCATGTATAATACTGCAGGATCTAAACCTTAACATTTGCATAAATAAATATTAATCTAAAGTGCTTAACCTTAATATTTAAACTACTTCCACAGTGTATTATTTTGGGGTCTTTAACTGTAACATTTAAATTAAACAGATACATGGATATCATAGATAATATTCTAGATTCCTAATCTCTACATCTAAACTTGTTTGGTGTAATATATAATAAAATATAAAAAGTTCTTGACCCTGATAATTTCATTAGTCAAGTAAATGTATGTAATAAATTATATTGTAGCATTTTGCTGTATTAATTAACTTAGTCGGGTACATTGTCGTAATAAATTATACAGTTGTGTCTTAATGTCAATATTTCAATTGGTCATGTAAATTTATGTAATAAATGATAAAGTATAAGTTTTTAACCTTAATGATTAAACTTGTCATGTACATTTATATAATAAATACTTTTGTAAGGGGGTTATTTATTAATCAAAATAATTGGGCAAAATTATATAAATATTGTAGTTTCTTAACTTAACTCTTGAAGTGTGAGACAATGCACTCATCATGAAAGAATATGGTGATGCTGCACATCAAATTAAACAGCAGAACCTGGGCTACAAGGATATAGCAGCTATTTCTACATGCCCCAAACACAACTCAAACACCAACTAAATGAATTATCACATATGGAAATCGATATAGCGCCACCCAGTCAACCTGCTCATCACATTTCTGGCTCCAGCGTTTTGGTACTTTATGCAAAACGCACAAACAACCTCTCAGACAAAAGCAGACAGTCCACAGATTCCAAACATGTCCATCAAAGCTCTCTAAAATCAAAGCATCAGCGAGAAACAACCCAGAGAACAGCCTTGAAAAGTTTACTTTATCGGTAAATCCACACCAGAATCAGTTAGTACTTCTTCCTGTGTTACACTGAAATCATTCCGGGCGTCTTCTGGAGGCTTCGTTAGCCGAAGGAAGCTAAGTAGTGAACAGCAAGCGGCTCGTCTTCAAGATGACGTTCTGCTGATTCTGATTGGCTAAAAGTGCTGTCAATCTCGTTTTGGTGGCTATCGCTATATTCTATTGGCTCTAACGATTCGAAGGAGGTGTCAATCACTGAAATCGACCAATCATTACGGAGATACAGCCTTACGTCACCACAAGAGCTTCACAGCAGCCTGATCAGCATCAACACAGACAGCGGTCTGGTTGAATGTTCAAAAAAAAAAAAAAAAACTGTTGCATGTGGATGTATTGAACACCATCAGTGATTTACAAGTGAAATATATAGTTGTTTCATAAAAACATTCAGATGGTCACCAGTGTGCCAGAATGTGAGCTCGCCTGAACTGTCTGCACTAAAAACTTTATAGTTTTGTTCTGCTTCACTTTATCAGTCAGCCTTTGCAGAGAGAATGTTCACATATAGTGCTCTGATCTGGGAGAGATTTAGAGCTGCAGCTGGATCATTACAAAGAGATCATTATCCTGAAAGTGTTTTTTTTTTTTGTTTTTTTTTTTTTTTAGGCAAACCTGAAAATTTTCATTGACATGTGTGTCATCTTCATTTACTCTTAACCAGTAACATATATGTTGATATTTACACATCTGAACAAATCTTACAAGTGTTCATTTTATTGTGACAACAATTATTCAAATAGACCTTGTGGTTGCAGAGATAAACTGTTTTTATTATGGGTATATCATTTTTGAGCAGATGCCTGAAACAGTAGCTCAGGGCTAAACAGGTTAAATCAGTCAGTACTCGTCACTGGAAACACTTCTGTTGGATTTCTGTTGTTAAATATTTGCTGCATAAATAGCATCGCCTTGACTCGACATCTTGNAACATGTTGAGGTTAATTGGTGATTCTAAATTGTCCGTAGGTGTGAATGTGAGTGTGCTTGGTTGTCTGTCTCTAAGTGTGGCCCTGCGATGGACTGGTGACCTGTCCAGGGTGTCCCCTGCCTTCGCCCTAAGTCAGCTGGGATAGGCTCCAGCCCCCCCGCGACCCTAATGAGGATTAAGCGGTGTATAGATAATGGATATTTAGTTTGTACATGAGAACATTCAGATGGTCACCAGTGTGCCAGAATGTGAGCTCACCTGAACTGTCTGGACTAAAAACTACTTCACTTTATCAGAGTCAACCTTTGCAGACAGAATGTTCACATGATGTGCTCTGATCTGGGAGATGTTTAGAGCTGCAGCTGGATCATTCCAGAGAGATCATTATCCTGAAATTTTTTGTTTGTTTGTTTTTTTAGGCAAACCTGAAAATTTTCATTGACATTTGTGCCATCTTCATTTACTCTTAACCAGTAACATATATACTGATATTTACACATCTGAACAAATCTTACAAGTGTTCATTTTATTATGACACAAGAATTATTCAAATAGACCTTGTGGTTGCAGAGATAAACTGTTTTTATTATGGGTATATAATTTTCGAGCAAAGGCCTGAAAAAATAGCTCAGGGCTAAACAGGATAAATGCTGAAATCAGTCAGTACTCGTCACTGGAAACACTTCTGTTGGATTTCTGTTGTTAAATATTTGCTGCATAAATAGCATCGCCTTGACTCGACATCTTGTGTCATCTCTCTGAACAATCTGACAGGAGGTCAGTGTCAGCAGCAGGGATGTTGTAGATGCAGAATCAGTGCCTGGGATCTGCTACTGTGCAGCTCTTCCTGAGTTTCATTACATCTGCAGGACTTCAGCGGGTCACATTACAGTCAACATATCTTATCAGAGGGTTACACGATGAGGGCAGGGATCATCTGTGTATTAAACATCATTATGCATCAGCTGTAATGTGAACAGAGAGACCTTTGCCTTAAATAGTTTCTTTTAAAATGTTGCTGGTTTACTGGATTTGGATGCATTATATTTACATTTAGAGCACAGCAGCACTTTAATCAACTGTTTCTGATCCGTGAGCAGCATCAGGAGCGAAACCCTGAGAGCTTCTTTGGTCTCTTTCCTGCATATCAACTAACATGAAGCTCTGCACCGAAGACATCAGTTTAAATCAGAGCTGATAATGCCAAAAATGTGTTTCAAAAAGCAATATGTCACCTAATGGAAAAGCCTTTGAAATATGGCTCGGTTAAAAGACTCATTCAGCTGTGAATTTAGAGTTGGAGGCGCTCATTTCTCAAATCTTTTTTATTCAGCAGTGATGTGATCTGATAAAACCTTGCAGCACAGCAGTTGGAATTAATGAGTATGTTAAATCTGCTTTTCTATTTATTTCACTGATACAATTTGAAAGATCTGCATAAAGCAAACATTATTCTAGCTCTGAAGTTTAAAATTTCAGGGTAAAAAGCATTCTGCTAGTTTGACCAATAAATGTTCCATCACTTCAGACTGCAGAGTTCAAACTACAGTGGGAATGTTTAGTGTGCACTTAGTTGTATTAATCCTGATAATCAAAAATAACCAAAACTAAAGAGGTGAAAATGACTTCAATGACACACAAACTAACCCAAACGTTGCACAAAATGACTTCAGAGAGACACAGTATGGCTACAGGGAGATGCAAAGCAACCAAAATGTGACACAAAATGAGCACAAAGACATAAAATTAAGAAGATGAGACACACTATGATCAAAACTGGACACAGAAGAGCACAATTTAGCCACAAAAGAAACATAAAATGACCACAGAAAGACACAGAATGGCTTCAAAGAGATGCAAAACAACAAAAGTGTGACAGAAAATGACCATAAAGACACACTAAATTCAGAAAATTAGTCACAGTATGACCAGATAAGACACAAAGAGGTAGAAAAGTGACCACAAAGAAGCAGAATGGCTACAAAGAGATGCAAACCAGCCAAAATGACACAGAAAATACTCACAAAGTAACACAGCCTGGCTACAGGGGGATGTAGAACAACCAAATTGTGATTCAAAATGACCATGAAGACACACTAAATTCAGAAAATTAGTCACAGTATGACCAAAATGGGAAACAGAAACAGATGCAAAATGGCCAAAGTGAGACACAAAAGAAACACAAAAAGATTTTTTTTTAAAAAAGAAAAAGAGAGACACAGAATGGCTCCAAAGTACAACAGAGTATTCGGGCCACATTAAGAAACAGATTTTTCCACAGACTTCAAGAAAAAAGTCATAGTTTGACAAGAACAAAGTCGGAATTTGACAAGAATAAAATTAGAAATTGACGAGAATAAAGTCGTAATTGTACCAGTAAGTGGATAAACAAAATACACATCCAGCCATTTCACCCTCCACAAAAGCAGCGATTTCCTCCACGTCTGTCTGGTTCTTTCTTCGGAATAGATTCATTTTCTTGCAGATTCTTGTCAAAGTCGTGATACTCATGATAATGTGGTGCTGATGCAACAAATGATGAAGTGTCTCCTGTTTGTGAAACCAAAGCTGAAGTACAAGTTTACGAAATGCTCCACGGCCCTCATTTTAACGACTTTCCTCTTCTACAACAACTGGTTTAAATGTTACCACTTTGTTCTTGTAATATTACGACTTTATTCTTGAAGTCTGTGGAACAATATATTTCTTAATGTGGCCTTAATGCTCCGTCATACCAAAGAGATACAGAGACAATCAGGAGATGCAAAATGACCGCAAAGATATGGAAATGATGCATCACTGAAGACACAAAACACCCTTAAATCAGCTTTGTGTGGCTTTTAGTATGGTTTTGTTATCCAGGGGCCCTTTGTTTTACAATCCATGTACATACACCATCATAATCTTGAAGGTACATTTTTGAAAGCTTGATTTAAAAAAAAAAAAATTAGAATTAGAATAAAACTTTATTAATCCCTTCAGTACAAGACCTCAGGGAAATTGCTAAAACGAGTGAACTCTCAGCCATACATTCATTCAACTCATTACTACAAGTTAAAAATACCCAAAGATAGTCGATGTTTTCCAGTTTATAGATACAAGTGAAGAAGCAGAGGAAAGAAGTAGGAACAAATCTGCTTTTAGGGCAATCTGGAGCTAAATTTTATTACAGTATGAGCTTTTCTAACGTCATCAGAACAAGATGCAGATCAGAAACCAGACCATTAGACTCTTTTAGAAGAGCCATGTCATTTAAAAGAAGCAACATACATGTGGAACTTAATTTTAAGAAAATGTGTGAAACTGTTTCCTCTAATTTGCAAAACATGAAACAACGTGCATCGTACTTTCTAAATGTTTTCATCATGAGACAAAAGCCACCAAACATCTCTGCAGTGACCTGGTGTCGGTTCGTATTGTGTTGTTTTACAAAGACAAGTGTTGAGACGACCTTCAGCCTCCTCCATGTCCTCAGCCTGACCTCTAACCAGCTGTCGTCCATCTTGTATCTGCAGCACAGCTACCGTGAGGTCGGCATCCTGCTGCTCTACCTGGCGGTCGGAGTGTCTGTCTTCTCTGGTATCGCTTACACCGCTGAATACGAAGAGGTAAGGTCTGACTGACGCTGGGCTCACTCACTAAAAGGCATTCAGATTTTATTTTGTTATCATCCTTCATTAACATCTGGATTCCTGCATGAATTGTCCTGACATGTTGCAGACATTTAAGATTCCCAGACTGCAAACTGTTTTAACCTCTGACTTTTCTTCAAGACATTCCCAATCGTCTCACTGAAAATGAACAAAATTCTCAGTGTTTCTTTAACTTCAGTTCATATCATTAACAGATGTTTTTCTTCCATACCATTATGTAGTTGTTGCATTTTAAGGTTTTCATTTTTGGGTCCAGTCAGTTGTTGGTTGTGTTCAGGGTTACGATTTTAGACAAAGGTGGTGACAGCAGAATCTGAATCAGGTCAGTGTAGACGTTTAGAAATACTGAAAGCATATTAAAGCAGAACAAGGTGGTTTCTACACTTCTCCTGCTCCCTGTGCTCACATACACTGTATTTTAATACAGTTCAAGTCCCAATAAAGCTGTTCCTATTTGCATAATTTCTGTTTCTGTGGTTTGACAATGGAACAAGTCTGACATAGTGACTGAAACAAGACTACGCGGTCACCAGCAGCTGCTTCGATGTTGCTGCTTATTTGTTTTGAAGCCATAACTAAAACATTTAAATGTTTTAATCTGTTGATGCAATAAAGCTAGAATAGAGGAAGTTGGTCTGCACTGTCAGAACCTTATGTGTTTTTGAAATGTTTGTTCTTTTTTAAGTCTTCTACCAGAAAAACAGTAGTTTTCAGCCTTTGTTGCATTCTGATATTGGCATGCTTTGATTTTATAGACTGGGGTGTATGTGCAGTTGGATGGGTTGTACAGTCGTCCTCACATGTATTCATACCCTCCCATTCAAGAAGGAAAAAAAACAGGTGTCACTAAAATAAGCTGAAATTGACAAAAGTAATAATAAATATAAAATTAATGAAAATCATGACGTTGCTTTTGAATTGTGGTTCAACAGAATTTTTTTTTTTTTTTAAAAACAAGCATGATGGGACCTGTAAACTAATATTTAGTTGAACAACCCTTTGAGCCAATCACTGCCATCAGGTGTTTTCTATAATGTTCAATCAGACTTCTGCACCTGTTGACGGGTGTTTTGATCTCACTGTTCATCAGCAAAGTGCTCTAGTTTGTCCAGGACAGTTTTTTATTTTTATTTTTTTAAACATTATTCTTTTCAACCACAATTCAAAAGCAACGACCTATTTCACTATATTACAATTTAGCAATTTTTTATTTATTATTACTTTTTTCAGTTTCTTATTTGAGTGACTATTGTGAATTTTGTCTTTTCTTTAATGGAACGATATGAATACATTTGAGGATGACTGTATGTGTGGTCATGTTGTTGAACCTGTAACCACCTAAATTTAAAGCCTCCTTCTGTGTCTCTGTCATCAGGACGTGGGTCTGGACACCATCCCGGCCTGCTGGTGGTGGGGGACGGTCAGCATGACCACGGTGGGCTACGGGGACGTGGTGCCTGTCACGGTGGCCGGGAAGCTGGCGGCCAGCGGCTGCATCCTGGGCGGCACCTTGGTGGTGGCGCTGCCCATCACCATCATCTTCAACAAGTTCTCCCACTTCTACCGGCGACAGAAGGCTCTGGAGGCGTCGGTGAGGAACAACAACCGCAGGAAGATCAGGATGAGCTGCGAGAACGTGCCGGAGGAAGACGAGGAGGACGAGGAGGAGGGATCAGACGGGGACAGTCGCTGTCTGGACGATGATGATATCGATGAAAGCGAGGAGGACGATATAGATTATGAGGATGAAGGAGGAGTAATAAACTACAGCTATGTGGAGCATCCGTCCTACATGTCGATACTGAGCAAGAAGGAACTGCATCATCAGCTGTGAAGACAACCAGACCGCAGCTGCTACAGGCTGCGTTCACACTGGAGATGAAACCAGTTCAGATTTTGGAAAGAAATGCTGTCATCTCTGATTCACATTCATATTTGATCATGAATCGGACTTTCATCTGAACCAAAGTCGTGCATAATGTAGTGTGAGCTGTAGGCTTCATGTGTGAGCTCTACGACTGGCTGCTCTCATTGATTTAACAGAACAAACCTGGAGGACAATAACAGCAGAGGGCTGCAGTATGAGCAGCATTCAGGCAGATGCTTCTACAATATACACAGCTGGAGGGGCCATGTTATACATGAGTAGTGTCTGACACCAAACTGGGACTTGGACCGTGATTTTTGGGCTTCCATGATAATTAGTGCATGTTGATTGTTTCAAGGAGGGAAGTTTGTTCAATCTGATGTTGTTGTTGAAAAAACCTCAAAGTGAACGTACAGAGCTGGTGAGGTGGAGTAGCATGCACATGTATGGAATGAAGCGAATAAAAAGTGTCATGAAAAACTGTGAACAGTACTTTTGTGGAAGAAGCAGAATAAAGACCAATTTAAAAGTCCGTCTGGTAAAGATGTGGAAGTTCAGCGAGGTTGAGGGAGGATGAGGAGGCTGACACACACAGAGAGACACACTGGAGACTCAGATGCAAGTAGGAATGAAAACCCAATGGGAAAAAGTTTCCTACCACCCCCCTATAGTTTTGGAAACAGATGTTAAAGACCCAAATTTAGGGATCTGCTTCTGTTCATCCAAGAGCTTCAACACAACAAGGTCACTTTCACATTACTTCAGTGATTATTACCACAAGTGATTCATACAATAAGGCATATTTGGTGATGATTATTAAAATAGTAAAAATACCTGCATAATTCAGGTCAAAAGATTGATCAGAAGATTATAAGGCACATGCAATCCCACAATTCACACCTTGTTCCTTGAAGAACAAATCTGACTGACTGACAATTGACTGACTGAATGGTTATTATTATTGTTGTATAAAATATATGTTATATTGATTTTTTTTTTTTTTAAAGTGAGCTTTTACAATATTGAATTTCCCTTCTGGGATAAATAAAGTATTTTTCATTTCATTCATTTCATTGTATTTAAACAATGAAACGTGATCTCGTACGCAGGTTTCCTGTTGCACATGCACACAGTTAGAGTTCACAAATCAGTGTCTTTTCTCTCTTCTATGCTCGAGTCATCAGTGTTGGTGTATTCAGAGCAGTTCAAACCGTTTATTGGCTTTTCTTCTTGCTCTTTGCTTCGTGTATCAGTGTGTGTATGATGTATACAGAATCAACTCTGAATTTAGAACTGGTGCCTGCATCAGGTCAGGGCGGGGTGGGTGCCACTGTTTATTACCATCTCACAGTCGTGGTTGTCATCTGTTTCTGCAATAGGAAGAAAAGTAGCAGAGTTCAAAGCTGGGGCTCTTTTTAGAATGATGGGCTGGACCAAATGATTGACTCATAGCCTGATGTGCTGACATGTGTTGTATGGCAGATACATCAAGAATGTTACTGTGTGTGGAGCATACGCAAAGCAATCATGAGCCAGAGGCGCAGATTTCTCTATTAGTGCTGCAACAGCAGCCACAGACGTCAAACAGCCAGACATACCACGAACTACCGTGCAGAGCTTTGACGACTAATACGCCACCGGGAGACAGTGTGACCCGTGTTTCTACACCAGCACTCCAGAATCACACCCCTCTCTCTCACTGAAATACAGATGAAACAGTTGCGTGTAGTCCAGCAGACCCAAGATCGGAGCTGAAACAAGAGCAGCCTTTAAATCTGCAAAGGCCTTATGCATGCTCTCCATCCACTCTGCTACTCCTGTAGTGTCGCTGCTCTCAGCACAGAGTCCACAACAGCATAATCAAGAATACAGTGTCTGCAAAAACTCGTCATGCCCAGGAAAGAAAGCATTTCTTTCTTAGTGTTAGGAGGTTTCATGTTATTCAGCAGTGTCACTCTTTCAGGAGATGACAGCCGCTGTCCTTCCTCCAACACACGACCCAGATTGGTGACCCTTCGACTGCAATACTGTAGTTTCACCAGGGAGGCGCGGTGTCCTCTTTCAGCCAGGAGCACAGAGTCAATATGGCAGGCCTCCTTGGAGGGAGAAGCAACCAACCAATAAATCATCAGCGTAGGAAAGGAGAGTGCTCCCACCAGCCAGATGCAGATCCACCAAATCATGTCTCACTGCTGCAGCGCACACTGTCGGACTCTCCACTAAGCCCTGTGGCAGCCTGGTCCACGTCAACTGACATGACTTGAACTTGGATGCAAGGGAGTAGAGAAAGATGCTGAGCCAGATCAACAACTGTGTAAAACTTTGAATCTGGGGGCAAAGAAGCCAAAATAGTGTTAGTATCTGGTACAACTGGGGCTGGAGCATCAATGTTATTAATGGCTTGCAAATCTTGTATAAATCTCCATTCATCTGGACGACTGGGTTTAGGAATCAGTAAAATGGGAGTGTGACGCGGATTGTTTGTCTCCACTAGCACTCCTTGATCCAAAAGCAGCTCTTTCCTTTGGATGCTCCTGTATCTGTGCAGGAGATGGAGGAGGAGGAGGAGGAGGAGGGGACAGGGAGGCCCACATTCCAGGCTGATGTTGAGGTGGATCGTGCCTCACGGCTCTGCAGTCTCGGGTCCAGTGGCCCATCCTCCCACATTTGCGCCACTCTCCATGTTTCTACTCTGTGCGGGTCGCGGTCTTCTGAGTGACACGAGGTTGTGGCTGATCTGTGATCTGGACTGTTTGTTTAACTTTAGCAGACCTTTTATTGGAAGAACAACAATCCCTTTCCATCGATGTATTCATCCATTCTGTCCACAGTTTGTCACGCCATGACCGATTTGCCACTTTGTACATTTTTGCAGTCTCAGGTTGCCACTATCTCCCACTTCTGCTGGGCTCTCAGGCTTACACACTGCTGGTTCTCCAACCATACATTTAGGGAAGGCTAAATTAGCTTCCTCTGATTGTGGCTGTTTTAACTGTGAGCCTTTATTACTCCTTGTATGTCGTGCAATACTGTCAGTGTCTTGTTTTGTTTTCACCTTTTTTTCCTTCTTTTCTACTTCACTCGCTCCTGCCTCTGAATCTTGTCCTCCCTATTTTTTGACATCCTCATATCCTGATTCTGACTCAGAGGACTCCGTCTCTCGTCTGAATATAGTTCCAGCCTTGTCGCTCTTCTTGTCCTCTTTAGGACCACTACCTGACCCAGTGCTAGCTCCAGCTGCTTGATCATAAGCTCCTCATCTGTACTCGTAGCTCTGGCTAATGCCTCTTCCCTGGTTTTTGTCTCTTCTGCCTTTTTGTTTACTTTCACACACGCTGCTTGCACATAGTCTCTCATCACTCTCTCTGGCAATTGTGTTCCTGCAGCACTGATCAATGTACACATTTCTTGCAGATTAGCTTTCCCTTCTCCTTGCTCCCTAGCCCATTTGTACAGTAATGCTTTAGCACAAGCAGCTGCAGGACACCTACATTAGAGATTTTCAACTGTTCAACAGGATTCAGCAGTTCTATGTCCCGTACAGCATCAGCATATTTAGAGATCACACATCTCCATCCAGCCAATCACAGTGTTTCTCACTCTTACTCCGACTGCTTCTCTCCTCGGCACATCCCCTCCAAGTGTTCACGCCCTCCCTCATATGAGCGTAATCCCATTTAGGATCGCCACACCGTCGGTTTGACTTTGACGCAGTGAGATCAAGCATCTCTGTTTCAAACGAGCCAAAATATGGCCACTCTCCTTTCATCCATTTGCTCGTTAGAGAAGTGAAAGGCGTCACATAGTGCCAGCCCTTCACTCCATCTATCGGTCCTGCAGGTGTTTCTGCATCAAAACATTCACCATAATGACAGAATCAGGATCATTCGTTTTCTTTGCAGATGCGTCAGGTCTAATTTTAGCTGTGGATGCATCAGTTAGCTTCAGAGTGTGTTTTAGGGGCATTATTTATTGACTTTTTATTAGGACAATAAGTCTCTCCGGGCTTGGACTGATGATTACCCAT